CTTCTGCTTCTGTTTCTTCTGCTTCAGTACATGCTATTATTATTATTATTATTACTACTATTGCCAGTCCTGGGCCTTGAATTCTAGGCCTAGGCATTGTCCCTAAGCTCCTTTGGCTCAAGGTTAGTAATCTACCTCTTGAGCAACAGCACCACTTCTGGCCTTTTCAGTGATTAATTGGAGATAAGAGTGTAATGGACTTTCCTATCTGGACTGGCTTCAAATGTCGACCCTCAGATCTCTGCCTCCTGAGCAGCTAGGATTACAGGTGTGAGCTACCAACACCTTGCCACCAGTAAATATTATTAATATGAGGTACATATTAGTATTAGAATCCCTATTTTACATGAAAAGAAACTAAAGTTCAAGTGGCGCTGTAGCTCAAGTGGTAGAGCGCTCGCGTTGAGTTGAAGAGCTGAGGGACAACGCCCAGGCCCAGAGTTCAAGCCCCATGACCGACAAAAAAAAAAGAAAAGAAACTAAAGTTCAAGAGGAATTGTCCTGGAAGACAAAAATCCAAGACTATGACCTTGGCTTTCAAAATGCAGCTTTGATGTCTTGATTTATGTTGACTATGCCTTGGCACAGAGCTCAGGAATGCAAGTCTCCCCTTCACCCCCATGTAGTTTATAACAGCCCCCAAAGGATCTCAGCACAGCATTGGGGAAACACTGCCACCCTCTACATCTTGCAGGAGACAGTTGCCAGTGGATTCCATCATGCAGGCTACACAGAGCCTCAGCCCCATCCCACCCCTTCTCTACACATTAGCATTACACATTCGCCTTTACATTCTGTCTCTCTCCATCCCTTGTGTCAATACATTTTGTGTCTCCGCAAAAGAAGTCAATATAGGCTTTTTTTCATTAGCCACTAATGCGTATTCCTGCTGTCAGGAGACTCTGCAGATCCATACAGATCATCTTGGCTCGCACATATTAGAATTTTTAAAGCCATGTATTTGGCAGCGGTGGCAGCTGAAGAAAGAGACCAGCTGCAGGAAATTAAATTGGCTGAACTTTCCCCCCTTGGCGTGGGCTATTTGGATTTCGAGTCTCTCCTTCCTCTCTCAGCCTAGTTATTCCTAAGACTTCAGCCCAATGGACCATAATGAATGACCCAAGCCACCCCACCCCACCTCAGTAGCCTTTTGCCAGCAGGGAAAAGAGATTCCTGTGTTTTTTTTTTCCTCTGAAAGGGTCGTGTATAGCAGAACAGATTGCACCAGTATAAAGCAATTTGGGAAGGGTTGACCTTGAGCTCAGTGAGTGGAACTGGAAAAGAGCAAGGGAGACTCCAAGAGGAAAGGGGGCTGGAAAAAAAAAGCCAGAGCATTCTGGAGCACAAGGATTGGAGAGTTGCTTTAGTCCAGGAAGTGTATTTCCACTTGTAAATCAGTTCCATTTGGTGGAGAGTAACTGCTTGTAACAATGGCATGAGAAGACTACAGACTGAGTCCAAGCTTACCAAGGTGGGGGGAGAAGTCGTGATCAATTATTGATATTTTCCTGGGCTTGGAGAGGGGAACAGAAGGACATGAGACATTACATTTGCCCTCCCTGAATTAATCCTTCCTTCTCATTTTACGGAAAGCACAAATGAAGCTCAGAGTTGAAAATCAATTTGTCCAAAGTCACGTTAGCAATTCAGCGACAGAATCGATCCTAGGCCCCAGGATTGCTCTTTGCATAAGGCCATGCAATGGAATGACATAATCAGAGAAGAAAGCTTTTTAAAGGAGAAGTGCAGGCACAAGTCCTAATGAGCAATGTGGGGAAAATGAGCACTCTGGCCAGATATGGAAGACCCAGGCTTCCTCACAGCCAAGCAATGCTGGAAAAACACTTAACCTCTTGGAGAATCAGTTTCCTTAGCTGGGAAATGAAGAAAAAAAATGGGTGAGATGGTCCCTAAGGGATGCTTAGGTTTGTGATCTGAGGATACTCCAGGGCAGGAAGAACCTTTCTTCTGTCAAGAGCCATTTGCATATTTATTACATAGTGGCAGACAAGCCACAGGCAACCAATTAGAAGCATGCATGTCTGTCCCATCATCTTGCAAATTATTCCACAGGCCTTACATAGCCCAACAGGGGAGTAGGGACCTTCCCACCCTTTCTCTGGGATAATGGGATGTCTTCTGGAGCCTCAGGGCTGTAGGATGGAATATAGAAGGCCTGTAAGGCTGGAGGGAGCCTCAGCTCTGTAGCACCATGGACAGCTCCTTAGTTTTCATTCTCTCCTTTGGTGGTGGGGAGAGGTGGGAGGAGGTGCCAACCAGCCCCGCATCATAAAGTCAAGATGCCTCATATAGGGTCTTGGGTCATATTTATGCTCTGTATGTCATGCTTTAAGGTAGAATCTGTCCTAGGAAGCCCTCAGAGTTAGCAGGCCTCTCAGATCCCACCTAACCCCTCCTCTCTTTGCTGAGTCTGTTGCCCTGGCAACAAAAGAGCTTGCTCCAAGGACAAACTAAGGGGGAGGGGCAAAATTCCAGGTGACTGCAGAGCCCCACGGCTCTTCTTCTCTCCTCTCTTGTTTTCCTGAATCCCAATAGGCTGTCCAGCTCAATGAACAGACCAAGGTCTTTCAAAATATTCTTCATAAACCCAGAAATAGGGCCCATGGGGAAAAATAGATGGGAAAGATCTGGCTCTTTCTCCTGTCTTTTCATTTCTCTCCTCTCCCCTTTTTTTGGTAGGTCATGGGGCTTGAACTCAGGGCTTGGGAGTAACCTAGCATTTTTGTTCAAGGCTAGAACTCTACCACTTCGAGCCACAGTGTTACTTCTGGTTTTCTGGTGGTTAGTTGGAGGTAAGAGTCTCATGAATTTTCCTGCCCAGGCTGGCATCGAACTGAGCTCCTTAGATCTCAGCCTCCTGAATATCTAGGATTACAGGTGTGAGCCACCAGCGCCCAGATATTTCTCTGTCCTTCTTTCCCTTACCTCCTTTCCTCTCCCCCCCACCTCTCTCTCCCCTTTTTTTCTCTCTCTTTCTCCCTCTCCCTGACATTTTTTTTGTTTTTACTGGTACCAGGGTTTGAACTCAGGGCTTCACACTTGTTTGGCTTGATTGGTTGGTGCTTTACCAACTTGATCCATGCCTCCAGCCCAGCTTTTTGCTGGTTCTTTTGGAGATGAATTCTTGAGAATTTTTCTGTCTGTGCTGACTTCATACTTTGATCCTCCAGCTTTCAGTCTCCTGAATAGCTAGGATTTTAGGTACAAGTCATCAGCACCCAGCTACAGCACTGGGGTTTGAACTCAAGGCCTTATGGTTGCTAGGTAAAAGCTCCCATGTCAATGGAGCTTCCGGCATTTGGTCCTTTTAGTAGACATGTGTCTCACTCTTTACTATGGGCTCTTTGAGGGCAGCCTCCGTGTGCATTCTGCCTCTGTGTTCAAATGCCTACATGCAGGGCTTTGTACATGGTAAGCATTTGAGAAAAGGAAGGATCTAATTATGTCTAGTTGGTTGTGGGGGCCATGCCATCAAATCTCTTATGTAGCTGAAATACTCAGAACCAAGTAGTAGAAGTAAAGTGGACAGGCCAGTAGGAATGAGGACATAGACACAGGTCCAATCATAGACCAGAATAGCCATGTGACCTTGGTAAATCACTGCAACTCAAAGGACCATTTTTCCTATGTGGAAAATGGCAAAAAATAGGAGCAAAGCTCCAGGATACTTGTCTGGATTAAAAACCAAATATCACATTGAGTGGTTTGTGCAGAATCTGGCATGTACCAGGCCCTCAGCTCAGATTAGTTTCTTTCCTCTTTCCTCCTCAACTCATCTCCTTCAGGACTTAATGGGGTACTTTAACCAAGACAAGCATGCAACCAAAGTTAATACAAAACCAAGGTCAGCTCTTGATGAACTCATCTCTTGCATATGGATCATAGTTCTGCCTCTGCTCTTATCACATCAGGATTTCATTTGGGGAGCCAATTGAGTTTGGTTGTCTTTGCTTAAACTGATTTTAAAAAATTTAAGTCCCATTGCAACAATGAGATGTACAAGACGTATGTCGAAAAACAAACTTTACAACTTTGGCGAAGGGAGGGGGGGTGGAGGGGGAGATGGGAAGGAATGGGAAGGGGAAACAAAGGAGGAGGCAACAATGCTTGATAAGAAATGTACTCATCACCTTGCTCATGTAATTGTAACCCCTCTGTACAGTATTTTCATAATAAAAAAAAAGAAAAAAAATTTAAAAAGTGTTGTTTCACCAGGCACTGGTGGCCCATGCCTGTAATCCTAGCTACTCAGGAGGCTGAGATCTGAGGATTGTAGTTCAAAGCCAGCCAGGCAGGAAAGTCCACACACACACACACACACACACACACACACCACACACACACACACACAGTTTCCTTAACAGCTTTACCCGGGGGATGGGTGGGTACCTTGACACGGTGGATATTGGTCCCACTCATGCTGCCACTCCTGTCGATGAGGAAGATGAACTCGCCGTGGGTCTTTCTCAGGTTGGGCTGCACAGACTGGAGGTCAGGACAAAAGTTGAGCATGATGACAGAATGGTGAGGGATGTCTTTATGGAGGCGTTTCCGGATGATTTCTGACTGGAGGAGAAAAGAAATGGAAGGGTCTTGAGATACCCCTTGGTGACTCATGCCGGTGTCACCTGCTCACTCACCACACAGTATCCAGATCCCACTTGCACTCCTGCACCAGGGACTTCCACGTGGGATGTCTTTGGCTTGCTTGCTGTATGCTCACTGATTGCAATACTAAGCACGGTTTTGTAGGCAGCTGATTGCAATACTAAGCATGGTTTTGTAGGCAGCAACATCTGCATTTGAATTCTGGCTCTGTTACCATCTGATTGTGTGATCTTCAGCAGGGCTGGGTCCTTGGGACAAAAATGTCCACTTCTCAGGGTGGGTGTGAGGATGGTCTCCATTAACATATAAGTGAGGGTCCCCTAGGCCCCCAGTGAGTATGGGTCTCTTTCACTTTTATAGTGTATAAGCTACTCTCTGGCTCCCCTTGCCATCAGCCTGGTTTCCCAGCTTTACTGATTCTCTCTGGCTGATAAACTCCACTTCGTCCTTCAGTGTGAGGCCTTCCCCAGCCTCCCAGGTGGACTTAACTGTTTTGTCTCCTCATTCATGAAATGAGGGCAAGAGTGCCCACAGCACCCCATGGATGAAGCACCCCATGGGGTTGTTGCCTGGTAGGAGTCACTGCCCGTGTGGCCATTGACAGTCCCCGGGGTCTTAGCTCATCTTACACCGGGTACAGCCTGTACTCCTATCTCTGCCTCTCCTCGAACTTCTATGCTCCTTGGTAGCAAATGATGTGTTTGCCTCGTTTGCATCTGAGATCAGTGAACATTGAAGGAAGTATCCTTTTTGGTGGTACTGGGGTTTGAACTTAGGGCCTTGTGCTTGCTAGGAAGGCATTCTGCTCCTTGAGCTATGCTTCCACTGCTTTATGTTCTGGTGATTTTTGAGATAGGGTCTTGCCTTTTTGTTAAACTGGCCTGGACTGTAATCCTCCTATTTCTATTTCTCATTGTAGCTGGGTGAGTGGACCCTTTTCTGTTGAGATGGAGCCTTGCAAGCTTTTCACCTAGGCTGGCTTCCAACTGTGATCCTCCCACTCTTAACCTGACAAGCAGCCAAGGATTATAGTCTTGAGCCATCATGCCTGACACTTCCATTCTTTATCTCATGTGGCTTCAAAGTTGACCCTGAGGCCACAAGCTGCTTCAGATTCCTCTTCTGGGTCTCTACTCATCCTACTCCATACCAAATGTCACGTTCTCCATCCTTACTCCTCTCCCTCTCGGACTGTCTCTGTGTGCACACAACTCTCCTCATCTGCGTCTCAGTTTCTGTTGATCTGGATCCTTTCCTCATCTCAACAGAATTCATTGTCACCCACTGGGTTGCTCAAACCAGAGGCCTACAGTCTTCCTTGATGATTCTCTTCCCTACCCCATGTATCCCAGCCTTCAGAAGAAGACCAGGGTCCTGCAGCTAGAGGACATGTTGAACATGACTGTGTCCAGTGATTCACCCAGGCTTAAGATGGATTCATTTCTTGCTGTACCTCACCATGGTCTCTTAGTACTGGTTTCTTTCTCCTATGCTGACTTGCCTGCAGCCCATTTGACACACAGTAGCCATTCTTTCCCTTGAGCAACACTTAGCACTCATCCTTGGCAGCACTTTTTTTTTGTGCCAATCCTGGGGCCTGAACTCTGGGCCTGGGCACTGTCCCTGAGCTTCTTTTGCTCAAGGCTAGCACTCTAGCACTTGGGCCACAACACCACTTCCAGCTTTTTCTGAGTAGTTTATTGGAGATCAGAATCTCATGGTCTTTCTTGGCCCCAGCTGGGAACTGCGATCCTCAGATCTCAGCCTTCTGAGTAGCTAGGATTGCAAGCATGAGCTGCTAGGCACCATATTTTATAAAGACTGAGCTTGCCAGTCCCTACCCCCCTGCCCATCTCATCTGAACCAGTCAGCTCCAAGTATTTCAGCTGCATATTCTGGCCACGTTAGTCTACTTTGTGTTTTCCAAACTACTTGCCACGATGCTGCTGGCTCTTCTTTGCACGTGGTGTGTGCTTTCTGCCTGCCCTTCTTCCTGGTGGGCGCTCTGCCATCCACCAGGTCTCAGCTGCACACAGACATTCACTAAACATCTAGCTCATGAGCCCAGTGCTGTCATGATTATCAAACCATCACGTCCCATCCTTCTCCAAAATAGTCTCATTCACTTCTGCCAAACTCAAAGCTCCTTGAGGACAAGGGATGCAGCATTTTCAACATTTTCCCGCCAGTGCCTAGAACATAGAGCTGACACCCACCGAGCCCTTTGTGTTTGGTGATTGAATAACAGAGAGAGTGGGTCCGAGTGTGCCATCTCTTTGTCTGCCACAAACTGCTGTCGACATCTTTTTTGTTTTTTTTTCTTTACAATCTCTGTCTCCCTTTGTGTTGTTTGCCCTCTCTCTGACAGCTTATTCCACCCACACGTCCTGAGTGATGTTTGTCCTCTGGATGTCCCCAACCTGACTTCCTGCTTAGAAATCTCGCTTTCCCTTCCGCATGGAACCCGTGTGCCAAAGGCTACTTGCCCAGCCTGGCTTTTTGCTAACACAGCCCAACGCAGCAAGAGCCACATCTGCCAGTGTGAGGAGCTGGATTTCTGCCTTTCAGAGGGATGAGGAGGTGCCCTGGCTCAGGATGCGCTAATGTCTCCTCAACCTGCCATTATCCAATTACAATAAACTCATCACTTCTTAGCAGCTGCCCATTGATTGCTGTCATCCCTGGAGCTCATGAGACTATGATGTATTTTGCATAACCAACCCAAGGTGGCAAATTAATTTTCATTTGCTGCAGCGGTCCCAGTGCTAATGGATTTCAGGTTTGGCAGGCAGGACAGCCAGCCTTAGGTCTGGGAGACCCAGTGCCCTCTCACCCTGCCTCCTCCAGCCATGTGCTGCCTTCCTCGGGGCTCCGGGGTGCCCCTGGCATGGCCACCTCTCCACTCTGACAGCCTGGCTCAGCGGATTCTCCTGGGGGGACAAATGTTTCGGGGTGTGTGTGTCTCTAAACACAGGAGATGACAGGCACTGGGGGTCCTCACCATCCCCTCCCCCCAGCCTGAAGATGCTTCTGGTGGGGGTCTCTAACCTGGGTGATGGAATGAGCAGTAAGCCATCCTCCCTCTCCTGTCTACTTCCTTCCTTGTGGGCCATGGTGTCAACTGAGCTAACCAGGAACTGGAGGGGCAGTTAAAGCCCAGCTAAACTGCCTCCATATGGTGAACTCTAATTCCTTGGCTTCACTGTCACCGATTTGAACTCCTGAAATAACCAGCTGCCTTTCTTCCAACTATCTTTGGGTGAAGGACCCATCCACAGAGGGAGCCAATAGGAAGAGATGTGCCATGATTCCTAGACTTGGCATTTTGGGTGCGACTACATGGGTGGAAGAGAGATGGATGGGTGTGGTTGGCAGCTCAGCCTCAACCATTCTCTTTCCTGTCCCTCTACTATGGCCTCATATTCTCTAGCTCCATGTGGAGGAAGGCAGAGGGAAAGGATCTTTCTTAGGCTTTCTTCAGACTGCCTTTATCCTATCTTTAGTAGAGAGCAATGATCCCAGAGGGAGGAAGAACAAGGGTCTACCCATTCATTCCACTGAAGGGAAAAGGGAGGCCAGTAGACAGAGAGAGAGAGCAGTGAGGGCCCCTAGCCTGGGGGATGGACTAACCTAGAAGGAGGTCAAAGCGATTCCTGCCACTAGCTATGAGTTTTGCCTGGCTTTGACTCCTTGGTGGTCCCTGGAGGAGGTGACTTGGTAGGAAGATAGACCAGTGTGACTGTACCATTTGCAAGTCTACCTGCCCTGCAGTGTCCTAGCCCAAGCTTGGCTATCAACTGTCCATGTGACCTCATGAAGCGGAGGGGGGAGAGGGCTGCCTCTCTATCTCGGGCTGGGATTCTTACAGGTTTAGTGGAGACCAAGTTCCCCATGCCATCGGCTGGGCCACCAGCTCACCTTCCGCTCTGCACTGTTGTCCTTCCTCGTCCCTCTGATGAAATCCATTCTTCCCTTCAAATGCTGGTCAAACTCTCCCAGGGTCATGTCCCCCTTCTCCATCAGGACATGTGGCATGTGAGGTTCTGCAGAGATTACATAAACCCTCAGTGCGTGCCCAAGGGGCAAGGGAGGTGCCAGGGGTCTTGCCTGAGGGCAGGCTCTTCATTGGAAAAGGGAGCAGGACCCTTGGCTGCCGGAAGCAGTGTGGGGTGGGGGGAAGGCTCCTTTGCTGTGAAGCACGAGAGCCTGGTGCCCATGAATACGCATGCCCCACCCCATGCCTCAGTTTACCCTCCTGTAATGGAGAATTGGGACTAGGCCGATGACTTGGGGATCTTTTCAGGCCCAGACATTCTGGGAGTTTGTGAGTGAGACAAGTTGTTGGTCCCCAAGGGTGCAGAGCTACCAAGGTTCCAGCAAGCTTAGAGTGTCCTAGAGCCCCTAACTCAGCTGCTCTGGGGGACCACACACCCCATAAGCAGATGATCTTGGGCCTCTGGAGCTGGCAAATGGGCAGGAACCATTCTGCCAGCCAGAGCCAAGTTCCCAGAAGGAAGTGGCTGGTCTCCTCCTCCCCCCTCTCTGTCCTACACATCACCACCAGGATGGCGCCCTTCCCTCCCACAAGCAGCAGTTCCCCCACAGGGCAGCGCACCGCTGGGGTGGACGAGGATCTCCACTGGCCGGTCAAAGGTGTGCTTGTTGGCCAAGGTGATGATGATGCTTTTGGCAGAGCGGGCAGATGGGGCGGCATCGGCGCGGATCTCATGTGTGGGACTCTCCACTCCTGAGCATCACAGACAGGCAAGGACAGCAAGGGAGAGACTCAGTGGCCCCAGAGAGAAAGGACCTCAGTCAGGAACACAGGGACCCAGACCAAAGATGATTGACAGACATGCTAGTCCCGCTAGGGTCCCGGACAGTACAGCAGGTGCTTAGGTAGGCTCATGGCTCTTCTTGGCCTGGCTGTGGGATCCAGGGGGAGATTAGAAGAGCTGCTACCTCCTGGGTGGGCACACAGAGTATCCTCTGCATGTCACAGAGCAGACAGAAAATGCTTGGTACTTCAAGGTGGCTTGCTGTTTTGGTGAGTGCTCTACACATGTATCTTGCATTGGGATGAACTCTGGCTGGTAAGACACCACAGCTTAGAGTCCTCTAATGCTCACTCCCTGGGGTAGGGCTGGGATGAGGCCATCAGAATTAGAATTGCCTTTTACGTGCTTCATACCCAAGACCTAGCCCAGAAATTTTAGGGTGGTGGCTAGGCATCAGTAGGTCTGACAGCTCTCCCAGGCGAGAGCCATCATTTTTTTTTTTTTTAGTCGGTCGTGGGGCCTGAACTTTGGGCCTGGGAGCTGTCCCTCAGCTCAAGGCTAGCACTCTACCACTTGAGCCACAGTGCCACTTCTGGCTTTTTCTGTGTATGTGGTGCTGAGGAATCGAACCCAGGGCTTCCTGCATGCAAGGCAAACATTCTACCACTGAGCCACCTTCTCAGCCCTGAGAGCCATCTTGATGCCTGTGTCCATCAAGAGGTGACCTGAAACCACATAGTTCCCTAGAGGACATTTCTGGTGGAAGCCATAGGGGTGGCGGTGGGTGGCTTTGGAAGCTGACCTGGGAAGGGCTCATTTTGGGGTTGTTTATTGGGGCAGTGATATAGGGGAGTCCACATGGCACCATGTCTCAGCTTAGCTCCTGCTGCCTACTCCCTCTTTCCTCTCCTGGGTGGGGGGGGATGATTTGTCTGAAGCTCTCTCCATGCTACGGCATCTTTGCCTACCCTCTCCATCTGGGCCTCCCTGCCTGCCTCTCCTCTCTCTCTCTCTCTCTCTCTCTCTCTCTCATCTCTCTCACCTGCAAGAAGACAGGGCCCACGGATCTCCAGCTGGAAGTTGAAGTCATACTCCATGGGATTGGACACCTCCGTGTCCAGGAGTGTCGCCAGGCACAGCCTGTTCCAAGAGTCCACAGCCCGGTTGCCAAAGCAGTGTCGATCTTTGCTGGGAAGGCATAGAGAGGAGGGAGGAGTGGGCAGTCCAGGAAGAGGCAGGGCAGGCATAAGAAAACAAGGAGAAGGAGGCCAGTCCAGAGTAGCCCAGCCCTCTGAGGGGGCTCCAGGGCTTCTGCCACCCAGGGACCATTGTTCTGGTCTTGGGGTTGGGGATGGATGCAGAGAAAAGCCAGAGTTGCTTGAAGAATGGCCATGATGGGCCATACTCCAGGCACGGGCTCAGCTTCCATCATGGTCACTACAGCCCCAGGAGGACATATGTCCCCTCTTCCTAGGGTGAGGTGGGAGGGCAGAGGCCATGGGCCCAAGTGCCCATGGTCAGGACTTAGAAGAGCTGGCATCCTGGCCCCCATCTGCCCGGCTCCATGTAAAATGGTTTGTCACATGTCACAATGCTTCTTGAGTCTTCTCTGTCAATTAGAAGCCTTAGACACAGCATCTCTCCCTCCTATCCTTTGCTGGGGATGAAACTTTACACAGTTGCCTGGAGGACTCTGTGAGTGACCACTCCATTAACAAAGCATCTGTCACCTGCTGGAATGTTCATGTTTTTAAGCACTCTTCCGCCCCCACTACCCCCAACCTTGCTCTGTTTCCCTGTCTTTCTAGGCATGGTATCTAACCTCTGTGTTCTGGGTTTTTTTTTTGATGATTCTGGGTTTTGAACGCAACCTCATACTCTACCACTTGGGCCTACCTCCAGCCCTTGCGATGAACAAGATTACACCTATCACAGATCTCACACTCCAGCTTACTCAGTGCTGGTGACCATTCGTCCAAGTCCTCGCCGCTAATAATGCCACTTGGCATTATTTTACCTGCCCCCCCCCCCCTGCACTCACTAATCACACCACAAGGAGAGTATCCTTGTCTGGGTTTCACCTTTGGCTTTGTGAAAGAACGTCTCTAGGTCAAGGGCACGATGCAGAGAATTGCCAGATTGCTTTCAGCCTGGGGGGCCCAGTGGAACTCCCATTCCCAGCCTTCCTGGCACTCAGCAGCCCAAGGCTTGCTGCTTGTTGACCTATGTCTTCCATCACAGTGACTTTGAGGGCATGAGAAGTTGACATGGATTTTCCCGCTTACAAGATGCTCAGGGGCACCAAAGCCCCAGATCCCTGATTTGCTGAGGTCCTGATGCTCCAGTGAGGAGGCCCTGCCTCTTCTGCCCTGGTGTGAGCAGAAACGCCTTACCTCTGGGTCTGCTGGTGGGATGGGCTGGTACTCTGGGTACAGAACTGAGGCACGGTTGGGGCGCAGACAGCTGGCAGAAGAACCCTCACAGCGCCGCTGGGCAGTGTTGGGAGCTCTGAGGAGGTGCTGATGAAGATGGTGACATTCTCCATGGGGGCGATGGTCCCCAGGTTGACCACAAACAGAATCCGCTCCAAATCCTCATCCAAAGCCACCTTTCCCGGGGTGCAGGAATGAGGGGAGATAGAGACCCCTTCTTGCAGTGTGCTTCCTAAAGGCCAAGCTGGTGTCAGGGGCTGTACCTTTATTGTCTCTGATTCCCCGCCCCCCCCACCACACACACTAAGTTTGCTTTTTGCTGGTTTATTGGATAAAAGAGTCTCACTGACTTTCCTGCATGGGCTAGCTTTGAACTGCATCCTCAGATGTCAGTCTCCTGAGTAGCTAGGATTACTGATGTGAGCCACTGGTGCCTGGCTCATGGAGAAGTATCTTAGCATACCTTTCTTAGACCTTGAGCCAATCCACCGCTCTGTGATTCTCAGCTCCCCGGGCAGCAGAAAACAGCAGCCATGCTTTGAGTATTTCGCGTGGTAGAAGCACTTGGCTTGTACGTTCATGTGGGGGAGGGGCTGTAATTACCTATTACACGCCCCAACCTGAGGCTGGTCTCCAAGCTCACACTGCTTGTGAGCAGCAGGCTAGGGAATCAGATCCTGGTACTACTTAGTCCACAGCCTGGAGCTGGGTGATTTGCTGTGTTTTCTATAGAGGTCTTCAAACCCCTTTTGCTCTCCAAATTCCTCTGATTCTACCACACTTTGGAGGCAACAACAGGAACAAAGGGCTATTTTCAGACCAGGAAGCTCAAACTCAGTGATGGTAATGGTTGGCTCAAGGTTAAGGACTCTAACCCAGGTTTCCTGGCTCTACTTCCTCCCTCTTTCCACCCTAACCCATTGCATGTCGAAGGCTTTAGCACCTAGGGACCCCCCCCCCCGACAGTCCTGGGCCCTTCAGGTCTCCTTACGTGAGATAGTTGCAGGTCGGACACGAGAGACTTCCAAGTGGCTTGTCTCCAGCTTGGCTTTATCCTTGATCTGCACAGTTACTATGCGGTCAGCAATGACTGCCTCAAAGCCGATCACTGTGGTCTGCTCATCCAGGGGATACACGAACAGGCCTAGTGGAAGACGGCCCAGCGTTGTAGGGTGTTCCGCCCCACCCACTCCTGGAAGGAATCTCAGATGGCTGAACCTTGCTACTGCTAAGAGGACCCAGAAGAAAGCTGGGGCTACGACCCAGCATCAGTAGTAGGCATGACAGCTGTGCCTGGCCCCTGCTAGCTCCTCCTTAGCAAAGCCAGAACTTCTGGCTTTCAAACACAGAATCGAAACCTGGATTGTCCTGAGGTCTGATTGATACATAGGCCAAACAGAACACATGGAAGACGTGGGTCTGCTCTATGGAGTTGCCACTGAGGGTTGGAGCTTGGGAAGAGCGAGAGCCAGGGTTCAATCCAGGCTCTGCTTTGTCTTCTAAGCTATGTGATCTTGACTAGACACATAGCTCCAACTGTGAGAGGGAGATAATAAAGGCAAAACCGTAGGATCATGATGAGAATTCTATCTACCATTCATTGAACTTTATCCTCTACCATGTGTACCACACATTAAAAAAAAAGTATCTGCAGGCCTCAAGGCAAATAGCTGAGGGTCAGATTTAAGAAAAGGTTTAGGCTTAAATCCCTGGTGTGTAGGGAGCATTATTAAAATGCAGGTTGGTTTTTGTTGTTGTTATTGTTGTTACTTAGTAGACCGAGGTCAGGGTCTGAGATGGCAGTGGCAGATGGTCTCCAAGAGATGCTAAGCTTAGAATGCAAAGGGCTCATTTAGTCCACTGTCTGGTACAGTGAGCCCTCCACAATCCCTGACTTCCTGTCCCCCAGAGCCTCATCTGTAAAATGGGAGCACACGTTCCTCTTGCACTGAGTCCACTGGAGGGCTGTCTCAAAGTCCTCCAGTCTCCTGAGCCCCAGCAGAGTCCCACTTTCAGTCTTCTTTCTCTAGAGTCTCCCAAACAGAGGAGCAGAGCTGTTTGCTCTGCCCAGATTTCTACGGGGAGGGAAGCTCCCTGCAGGATTGTTGGGCCAGCATTGGCCTCTAGGACCTCCCCCCTCTGGGGGGAGGTGGGAACTAGACATTGGTTTAGTGGTTAGGAGGCTCTGTCATTGCCAATGAGAAGGGAGTGCTGGCCACAGAGAGCGGTGTGCATTTACCAAGGACGTTGGAGGCCAGCACCTGGCCATACTCTGACTGGCCCCACTGATGAGTCACTGCTGCAGCCTGTTTTCCATCCACTCTGTCTTTCCTCTGGCATTAGCTCATCAACTCCTTCCTGAAGTCTCAGATGTGTGGACAGCCAGAGAGGAGGACCCTGACTTTGAGGGAGGGCATGGCTTCCCCAATGTCATTGGGAGCCAGAGCCAATGTGTGGATGGAGGTGGGGGTGGGGTGGGTTCCTGGCTCTGGAGCATCCTGTGTGGGTGGTTTGAGACAGATAGTTGGGACAGAGGAGCCTGTCCTGAGCCTAAACCTTGACTTAAATCTGATCCTAGGCTGTTTGCCTTGAGGCTGAAGGGCCAACCTGGTGGAAAGATTATCTATCTATCATATATCTATCTATCTATCTATCTATCTATCTATCTATCTATCTATCTATCTATCTATCTACCTATTCTTTCCCAACCTTGTAAGGTGTTATTTTCCTGCAAATGAGGACATGCAAGCCTTAGAGAGACGTGTTTGGTTCTGAAGGTGAGTTAGGGATATCTTAGCACATATGGGCACTGTGGACTTTCTCCTGGGAGAGCTGTATTTACTTCCTTCTGTTCCTTCCTCATCTAGCCTCAGGGACAGAGCAAAGTCACCAACACATCCGTAGGTCAGAATGAGAGACCATGGCTTAGCTCTGGGGAAGGTGTCTGGTGTAAGTGTAGTTTAATGTATCAGGGTGAATGTTTATTATAGGTTAACCTTCCCCGCCTCCTTCCCTACTTCCTTCCTAGACCTGCCATACAAATTGTCTATCCAAGTCCTTGTCTCTGTATACACACACCACACACACACAGATAGAGAGGGGGGTGGAAAGAGAGAGAGAGAGAGAGAGAGAGACTCAGCGATCACCCGAGTTTTCCAAGCAAACATCAGGACAGGACAGGGTTTCAGGATGGAAGAGGAGGGTTTAGCCTTGGGAAGCATGCTCCCTCTCCCTTCAACCCCGCCTCCCCGCTACAGTTCTTACCCTGGAAAGGCTGAGCCTCCAGATTGCCATAGGTGAGGGAAGCAGTCAGGCCCAGGGCGTAACCACTGACGAAGGAGGTGACATCAGATGCGGTGAGGGGCAGGGCTGCCCCTGTGATACGGTTCAGCAGGCCAGGCATCCCACCAGCTACTTAACTCAGGGCCTGCAGGACACAGGGAAGGCAGGAGATGGGAAGAGGCCCCCACAATCTCTAGCTACTTTTCTTGTTTCTGACTCTCTTGACAATGGGAGGTGATGGCCTTTGTTTTCAAGGCTTTGCCAGTCTCCTCCTCTGCGTAGATGTCTCCACTGCAGTTGGGTTATGAGGGCATACAGGAAGCACCCTGAAGACACCAACATGAGAGCGGCTACCACCTTTCCAGGGGTGCAGGCCAAACACCAGAAAGTCATTGCTATGGCCTGTTGTCTCTTTCTTGCCATCTTGCTCAGTTCATCACAAGGGTGGTGACTCGTCCTTGCATTCTTGCATTCCTTCTTTTTCTGGACCTTGACTCGTGTGTGTGTGTGTGTGTGTGTGCACGTGCGTGTGTGCTCATACTGGGGTTTGAACTCAAGGCCCTGCACTCTCATTTGGCTTTTTTTTTTTTTTGTTCAAGGCTGACTCTCTACCACTTGAGCCACAGCCCTAGTTGTTAATTGGAGATGAGTCTCATGGACTTTTCTGCCCAGTCTGGCTTTGAATTGTGATCCTCAGTTCTCAGTCTCCTGAGTGGCTAGGATTATAGGTGTGAGCTGCCAGGAAGCACCTTGCTTCCTATTGGCTTCTTGAATCTATTCTTTCTTGTCATCCCGTGGCCAGGGGACATTCCAACACACAGAGTGGATGAGTCTCCATCACCTCCAACACTCACCACCCTCTTCTACCAACCAGTGGTTCCCACTGCTTTTTGAACAGAAACTGAAAACCTTAAGATAGCCCAGGACCTGGTGTGGCCATCTCGTGCCTGCTACCCGAGCTGCTAGTTGGGCCTTGGCAGTTCCTACCTCAAGTATGTCCTCTTTTCTCCACCTGTGTGTCTGCCACTATAGCTGGAAGACTAGCCCATGCCCATCTTTTATCCATCCATCCATCCACCACCTCCTTTTCTTTCAGCATCAAGGAATACCTCCTCTGTAGGGAATACACTCTTCCACAGTGTATTTCTATCAGGGTTGTTCTGCACTTTGTTCTGTGAGGTGGTCTGTCTGTCACCGTCTTTATAGCGCATGCTCCTTGCGTGTGGTTATGGTCCCCATGGGTTGTTGTTGCCCATTAACTCCTCAGAGTTGATTGAATGAATCAAAGAGTAACTGGCTTTTCATCCTTCCAACAGGAAGGTCTTTGGATCACTTCTCAGGACAGGGTGTCATGTTCCCAAGTGGCTGGGGGAGGTGTGTGAGTGGGAGCAAAGTTCAAGACCAGCGGGTGGAATGCAAGTACAAGGCCAAGTCTGTCTGGGATTTCCTGTGTTTGAACCAGGCAAAGCTTCCCTGGGCTGGTGGCCTGGTGCCGTCTACTTATGACTGCTCAGTGAGTGTTCATTTCTCTGCCCTTTCTCCCGGAAGGATGCTGTTCTCCTCTAGGTCCTCTTCATGTCCTCAGGTACTCCCCCTTCCCCCCGCCCTCCAGGCCAGCAGAGTCTTTTTTAATTATGTGCTCCCTTGTGGCTCAGCCCCAGACAGCTCTCAGCCGGCCTTATCTCCTGACAGGCTGACTGATAACTGGAGGCAGACAGAGTGCCAGGATGGGGCTGCTGGATCCACAATCTCCTCTGGGGAGTTTTCTGCCTTGGTGGCCAGAGTAGAGCTTGGTTCCTTCCGGGGACAGAACAAGATGGCAGAGTTCATTTCCTGACTGAGCCACTTCTATTAACCACACCTGCCTCCTCTCCCTGGTTGCACTCCAGGCCAGAATGCTGATTGGGAGAATTCGGATCCAGGGGAGGCAACACTCAGATGAACAGTAAGCTTGGATTTAAGTTTCAGTACATTAGGAGGTGGAATCTTCCCAGGGCCCCTTGTCCAACCTAGGGAGTAACACTTGGATGATTTCTGGAAACAGAGTCTAGACTCACTCTTAATGACCCACTCTGTACTGATTGAGAATAGCAGAACCTCTTAGGAAGGGTAAACTTCAAATGCCTCCATGCCTCTTTTTCCTCAATCCATCCAGCAACGATGAGCACTGACTATATGTCCAGGCCTGATTTAGCCACTGGGGATATGAAGATAAGGCACAGATCCATTCTCTAGGAGTTTATAATTTAGTAGCAGAGGAAAATTGGAAGCAAGAGAAGCTACAGTGATGATAGTTGGAATTTATCAGGCAATGGAAATGTGCCAGGCACATTTAATCCTTTGAGAACCTTGTGTTATTTTCCTGCAAGCAAGGGCATGAAGGCCTTAAGAGAGATGTGTCTGGTTCTGAGTGTGAGTTAGGGGTATCTTAGCACACACGGGCACTGTGGGTGCTTGTGTGGAACTTTCTCCTGGCACAGCCATTTCCTTCCTCCTTACCCTTTCTTCATCTGGCCTCAGGGACAGAGGCAAAGCCACTAACATATCCCTAGGTCAGTGTAAGAGACCATAACTTGGCTCTGGGGATGATGTCTGGTGTGAGTATGGCTTAGTGGTAGCGGGGTAAATGCTATTATAGGTTAACCTTCTCTACCTCCTTCTCTACCTCCTTCCCAGACCTGCCACACAATTTGTCTGCCCAGGTCCTTGTCTCTTACTATTCTGAGTCTGGATATTGGTTGGAGAGGTGAGAAGAAAAGGAATTAAATAGGACTGGGGCTGGGGCTAGGGGAAGAGGAGTGGAAGATGAACTTAAAGAGCCAGCTGAGCTGGGTACTGGTGGCTCATGCCTGCAATCCTAGCTACTCAGGAGGCTGAGATCTGAGGATTGCAGTTCAAAGCCAGCCTGGGCAGGAAAATCCGAGAGACTTTTATCTCCAATAAACCACTAGAAAACTGAAAGTGGCACTGTGGCTCAAGAGGTAGAGCACTTGCCTTGAGCTGAAGAGCACAAGGACAATGCCCAAGCCCAGAGTTCAAGCCCCATGACTAACAAAAAAAAAAGGAGGTGCCCTGAATTGGATCCCATTTCACATTTTCTGAGAGGCTCATAGAAAAATGGGGATGATTTGGGGGCAATGGGCTATGTCTCTTTGGTGTCATGTTGGTTTGGATGGGGACACGAATTCTGCATAGCTTCCTAGCGTGACTATTAAATACCAAGACTGTGTCTTGGTGGCCTAGAAGCCATGCTTCAAAAGTGACTGCTGTCTACCTGTCTGCGACATTATTTCTATATATACCTGGCTCAACAAATATTTGTAAAGTAAAATGAATGAACCAATGAATGAATGAATGAATGAATGAATGTCATGTACTTGGGACTACTGTGTGGAGCACGGCAGGTGTGAGCACAGAAACAAGAGGAAGAGACAGATAGTAAATAAAGCTGTCCATTCAGAATCTGACCCCTTCTTGTGGCCTCCACAGGGCAGTCCCGCAGCTCCATTGTTCCTCTACAGTCTGTTCTCAATGGGGGCAGCCAGAGCCATGCTTTGAAGATCTGGTCATGTGACCCCAAGGCTCAAATCCCCTGATGCTGAGTGGCTTTCCCCTCTGAACTTCCTCTTGATGTGTTGACTCTAGCCTGGGCCCCTCAGGCCTTTTGCACTGGCAATGCTCACTCCTGGGAATGCTCTTTTCCCTAGATCTTCACATGGCTCCTTCCCCCTATCAAGTCTTTGTTCAAATGGCACCTCCTCCCAGAGCTTGCCTTTAATAACTTCGGTCATCTTGCAACCCCTTCCCCTACATTGCTCCCCTTAACCTGCTCCACTTGCATTTCTTTCTGAAGCCCATGTTACCAACATTACATATACATATTTATCACGCTTGTCCCTTGTCATCGGCCTCCTGTCTACAGGGCAGAGACGGGGCCCCAGTTTCTCACTGATGAATCTCAAGCACCTTCAACTATGCTTGTTCTGATGTGGATACATTTTTTGTTGTGTGAAAGAACCCAATGCCGCTCCCAATGCCAAGCCATTTCTGCATTTCCCCCATTGGTGCATCTGAGGGAGAGATACGGGGGTGTGGGGAGTAGGGGTGGGGTGGGAGGGGGCATGCCCTGGGAACGTCTTAGAGAAAGACTATGGATATGGAAGTCACTAGATTGGTCATTCCAGCATTTGCCAGTCAGGTCTTCCTTCCCCACCTGCACACAGGTCCCACCCTTGTTGTAGCAGACACCAGTCTACAGGGATATATTCTTTCCTGCCCTGGCTATTGTTTGTGTTGCTGGTTCTGTGAGGCTCCTTAGAGTCTCCGCATCCGGATCTGGGCACCTGGTCCTGATCCCCTCTCCGGAAGGGCTGTGGAGTCCTTGTTGCTGCTAGAGTCTGGGGGAGGAGGGGGTGCCCTCTGCTTCCTGTTGCTCATATTCTCCTGAAAAGCCCTTTAACTTGAGTCCCCAGGGGCTTTCGATCATCCTCCTCTGCACGGATTGGCATCGCCAAGGTTCTGATCGTACCTTCCTCTTAGTGAATAATTGGCCCCTGGATCTCCAGTCCCTCTGTTCCCAAGTCCTGCCAGCATCCTGGTGCTGTCTGTATGCCTGGGACAGGGCTTGCTGGTGCCTGTTTCTTCATTCTAGCTGGTCCCTCATTTCCTCTCTCATGCCTTCAACTTTACACCCCAGCCATGACAGCTGCATCTCAAAGCCACTCACTTGCTTTTAAAGCCACAACCTCTCACCACTCCCTAGTCTTCTCTGTGTTTTTCTTTAGCACTGATATCTGCACCCTGTCATAGTATATATTGCATATATATAGTTCGATGGGTTTCCCCATCTCTCTAGAGTATAGTTCCAAAAGGGTGGAGATTTTTAGTTTGTCCACTACTTTGCCTGTCACTCCCTGATAGGCACTTTAGTAGGTACTCAATAAATATTTGCTGAATGTCTGAAACCCCACTCCAGATACTTTGCACATACAATTTTATAACCTGTCTCAGAGATAGGCACTCTTATGCTTTCACAGATAAAACACCAAGGCTCAGAGAGGTAAGGGAACTTTTCCAGGATCACAAAGCCAGTAAGTGGTGGGGCAGGGAATTGAACTCTTA